GCGGTCCCGGGGGCTTCTTGGACCGTCTTGGGTGCCTCTTGGGGGCCTCTCGAGGGCCTCTTGGGGCCATCTTGGGGCCATCTTGGAGCCATCTTGGCGCCACTTGGGGCCTCCTGGGTGCCTCTTGGGGCCATCTTGGAGGAGATCGATCAAAGAAGAGGGGTTCCCTAATTCGCGCCCCCCCTCGGGAACCTCCAGAATCGCCTCCTGGACACCTCTTGGGGCGCTCTTGGGCGCTCTTGGGGTCGTCTTGGGGCTCTCTTGGGCCCCTGTTGGGGCTCTCTTGGGCCCTCTTGGAGCCATCTTGAGGCCTCGGATGGCCATCGGAAGCGAAAAAGCGAGAAGGCAAAAATCATTGGTTTCCCCCAGGTTTTTGAAGGATGTTGGCCTCTTGGGAGGCCTCCTTGGGAGGCTCCGTGGCCACTTGGAGTCGTCTTGGGGCGGTCTTGGGACCTCTTGGAGCATCTTGGGAGCCATCTCGAGCCATCTTGGGGTATCTTGGGCCATCTTAGAGCTCATCTTGGGCTCTCTGAGGCCGTCTTGGAACCATCTTGGGCCATCTTGGACGCTCTAACTACCAGCGGCCCCCCCGTCCAAGTCCAGGGGAGGGGGTTAGGGGGATGGGTAAACCCCTCCCCGAAGGGGAAGAAGGAGGTTGGAAGAGGAAGCTCCTTAAACCACCTACGCCCAGAGGGCTGGTGGGATTTGTTACTGGTAGAAGGTGGCGGGTTGCAGGGTATTGTTCGTTAGCGGATCCACCAACACATTGATTTCGCCTGAGACATCCCCCTACAAATGACATCTCCGCGACATCGCGTTTAACAGAAACCAGCGTTTCGCTCGAGACATTTGACCGGACAACAACAACGGGAAACGTTGCTTTTGTCCACTAGATATGTGAAGTATGCTCTTTTGTTGGTCTGCTGTGCAGATATGTCGTGGCGTGCGTGCGGTTGCGCGTGCACGTGCGTGCGTGGAATATGTGGATGTGTGTCCGTGCGTGGTGGTCTGCGGCACTGCTGTGTTATGCCGTGCTGCTCTGCCGTGCTCCTGCGGTCTGCGTGAACGTATGTTGCCTCTCTGCGTGTGCGTGTGTGTCTGTGTGCGTAATTATATGACTGTGTGTGCTTGTGCTTGTGCCTGTGTGCATGTGCCTATGTGCGTGTGCCTGTGGGTGCGGCTGTGCGAATAGATGTTATATGTGTTCTGCCATGTTCCTGCGCCTTCTGCCGTGCTCCAGTGTGTTGTGCCGTGCTCCTGCGTATTCAGCCATGCTCTTGCTTTGCCGTGCTCCTATATGTTCTGCCGTGCTCCTTGATGTTCAGCCGTGCTGCTGCTTGCTATGCCGTGCTCCTATGTGTTTTGTGTGATATGCCGCGTTCCTGTGTGTTCTGCCATGCTCCTGTGTGTTCTGCCGTGCTCCTGTGGATTCTGTGTGTTCTGCCGTGCTCCTCCTGCTCATGTGTTCTGCCGTGCTCCTGTGTGTTTTGCCGTGCTCCTGTGTGTTCTGTGTGTTCTGTCGTGCACCTGCGTGTTCTGCCGTGCTCCTCTGTGTTCTGCCGTGCTCCTATGTATTATGTGTGTTCTGCCGTGCTCCTCGTGCTCCTGTGTGTTCTGCCGTGCTCCTGTGTGTTCTGCTGTGCTGCTGTTTGTTCTGCCGTGCTCCCGTGTGCTCTTTGGGTTCTGCCGTGCTCCTGTGTGTTCTGCCGTGCTCCTGTGTGTTCTGCCGTGCTCTCGCGCGTTCTGCCTTGCTTCTGCGTGTTGGGTTGCCGTGATCCTGCCCATCGTCTGAAGATGTCTCAGGCGAAAAGCTCATTTTAACACGCATGGTCTTGAATCAGCTTTTTCAGCACCTCATTTGTTAGAGGATGTCTCAGGCGATATCTCCATTTCCATACTTTGTTAAATTCGCGGTTTTCATGTTCTGGTGGATGTCTCAGGCGAAGTCCTCGTTTTGTGAAAGACGGTGTTGCGAACAACTCATTGTGGTGAGGATGTCTCGAGCGAAATGCTAAATTTGAGGAATCTCGAGGGCGCTCTTGGGGTCATATTGGGCCTCGTGTGGGGCTCGTTTGTGGCTGCCTCGATGCCATCAAAAACATGCCAATGCGATGTCACACGCATCTCTTTGTTGAGGATGTCCCTCGCGAAATCGTCATTTGTAGAAGCCTGACTTTGGCCGTCTGGAAGCCTTTTCAAGAACGATCCCAAGACGATGTTGGAACAGCAGTTTTCAAAACGATGTTCTTCTTGTTTTTTCACAACCAAAAAGCAGATTATTTGAGGATGTGCCTAGCGAAATCATCATTTTCGGCAGTCATCAGGGCGCTCTTGGAGCCATATTGAGGTCCTTTTGGGGCTCTCATTTCTTCCTCTCGAAGCACTTCAAGAACGGTGTCAAGACGATGTTGAGAACATGATGCCCCCAGCGAAATTCAAATCGTCTGCCGTGCTCTTTTTTCTGGTCCGCCGTGCTTCTGGGCATGTTCTGAGGATGTTCCTAGCGAAAACGCCGTCTTCAACAGAAGCGCCAGCCAGTAAAACACCTCAGTCGACATCTCACTTTTTGAGGATGCCTCAGGCGAAACGCAAGCTTTTACAAATGAATTTCGCGGCGACCAGTTGTTCGAGGATGTCTCGAGAGAAACGCTTGTTTTTGTTGAACGCGATGTCGCGGAGATGACATTTTTAGAAGGATGTCTCAGGCGAAATCGCCATTCGGGGGAACCTGACCGGACAGAGACGGATAGTTCGCGGTGGTTCGCGGTGGTTCGCGGTGGTTCGCGGTGGCTCGCCGTGGTTCGCGGTGGCTCGCGGTGGCTCGCGGTGGCTCGCGGTGGTTCGCTGTGGCTCGCGGTGGTTCGCGGTGGTTCGCGGTGGTTCGTTGTGGTTCGCGGTTGTTCGCGGTGGCCCGCGGTGGCTCGCGGTCGTTCGCGGTGGTTCGCGGTGCGTCGCGGTGGCTCGCGGTGGTTCGCGGTGACTCGCGGTGGTTCGCGGTGGTTCGCGGTTGCTCGCGGTGGCTCGCGGTGGCTCGCGGTGGTTCGCGGTGGTTCGCGGTGGCTCGCGGTGACTCGCAATGGCTCGCGGTGGCTCGCGGTGGTTCGCGCTGGCTCGCGCTGGCTCGCGCTGGTTCGCGGTGGTTCGCGGTGGTTCGCGGTGGTTCGCGGTGGTTTGCGGTGGTTTGCGGTGGTTCGCGGTGGCTCGCGGTGGTTCGCGGTGGCTCGCGGTGGTTCGCGGTGGCTCGCGGTGGCTCGCGGTGGTTCGCGGTGGCCCGCGGCGGCTCGCGGTGGTTCGCGGTGGTTCGCAGTTGTTCGTTGTGGTTCGCGGTGGTTCGCGGTGGTTCGCGGTGGTTCGTGGTGGTTCGCGGTGGTTCGCGGTGGTTCGCGGTGGTTCGCGGTGGTTCGCGGTGGTTCGTGGTGGCTCGCGGTGGCTCGCGGTGGCTCGCGGTGGCTCGCGGTGGCTCGCGGTGGTTCGCGGTGGTTCGCGGCGGCTCGCGGTTTGCGGTGGTTCGCAGTTGTTCGTTGTGGTTCGCGGTGGTTCGCGGTGGTTCGCGGTGCTTCGCGGTGGCTCGCGGTGGCTCGCGGTGGTGCGCGGTGGTTCGCGGTGGTTCGCGGTGGTTCGCGGTGGCTCGCGGTGGTTCGCGGTGGCTCGCGGTGGTTCGCGGTGGTTCGCGGTGGTTCGCGGTGGCTCGCGGTGGTTCGCGGTGGCTCGCGGTGGTTCGCGGTGGCTCGCGGCGGCTCGCGGTGGCTCGCGGTGGCTCGCGGTGGCTCGCAGTGGTTCGCGGTGGTTCGCGGTGGTTCGCGGTGGTTCGCGGTGGTTCGCGGTGGTTCGCGGTGGTTCGCACTGGCTCGCGGTGATTCGCGGTGTTTCGCGGTGGTTCGCAATGGTTCGCGTTGATTTTTGTTGCTTCGCGGTGCTTCGCGGTTCTTCGCGGTGGTTCGGTGTGGTTCGCAGTTGCTCGCGGTGGTTCGCGGTGGTTCGCGGCGGCTCGCGGTGGCTCGCGGTGGTTCGCGGTGGTTCGCGGTTGTTCGCGGTGGTTCGCTGTGGTTCGAGGTGGGTCGCGGTGGCTTGCGGGGGTTCGTGGTGGTTCGCGGTGGTTCGCGGTGGTTCGCGGTGGCTCGCAGTGGTTCGCGTCGGTTCGCGATGGCTCGCGGTGGTTCGCGGTGGTTCGCGGTGGTTCGCGGTGGTTCGCGGTGGTTCGCGGTGGTTTGCGGTGGTTCGCGGTGGTTCGCGGTTGTTCGCGGTGGTTCGCGGTGGCTCGCGGTGGTTCGCGGTGGTTCGTTGTGGTTCGCGGTGGTTCGCGGTGATTCGCGGTGGCTCGCGGTGGTTAGTTGTGGGTCGTTGTGGTTCGCGGTGGTTCGCGGTTGTTCGCGGTGGTTCGCGGTGGTTCGCGGTGGTTCGCTGTGGTTTTTGCGGTTGTTCGCGGTGGTTCGCTGTGGTTCGCGGTGATTCGCGGTGGCTCGCGGTGGTTCGCGGTGGTTCGCGGTGGCTCGCGGTGGTTCGCGGTGGTTCGCGGTGGTTCGCGGTGGTTCGCGGTGGTTCGCGGTGGTTCGCGGTGGTTCGCGGTGGTTCGCGGTGGTTCGCGGTGGTTCGCGGTGGTTCGCGGTGGTTCGTGGTGGTTCGCGGTGGTTCAAAAGTAGTCAGAAAATTGTATGTGGACTATTCCTTTCGAATTCTGAATATTTTTGAACATGTTTTGATTGTTTACATTTTCCTTCCCAAGTCCGCCTGCAGGAGGACATGCCCGACCTAACGGTATGGGTATCTTCGGGGCTCAAAAGACGGGGGTCAACGCAAACGGGGGTCAGTCAGAACGCCGGATCTTGCAGGATCTTGCAGAGCAAGTGGTGCATTGACCTTGGCTTGCGTGCAGGGTCTTGCAGGATCAGGCAAAGCCCGTGACCCCGCTTTGGATTGACCCGGGCCAGTAGATCCCCGATATCTTGTGGCTCCCGCAGGAGACGGTGTCGGACGTCGAGAGCGCCGAGTTGTGTTGCGGGATGTGCGCCGGCAATGAGGAGTGTGTGGCCTGGAGCTTCCAGGCAGCCGAGTCCATGTGCTTCTTGAAGGGTGCGTTCCCCAGGGGCACGATAACGAAGGTCTCGAACGAGGACTTCACGTCCGGCATGCCAACGCAGGTCGGTCGCAGCATCGAAGCGATCGAGCGCCCATCTGGCCAGTCGCTCTACTGCTTCGCGCTGATGGTGCCCGATTCCTACGAAGCCGCGCTGTTGGACATGCAGTACGACGAGGGCATCAGCCTGTTCGAGTGCGACGAGTACGCCGTGTTCACCAACCAGGACCTGAAGATCGCCGACAAGGTCGAGACCATTAGGGTCGACAGCGACCTCAAGTGTAGCAGCGGAGGCGAGTTCGGGACGGCGCTGAACACCGACATCTTCCTGACCGTGTGGGCCAAGCTGCTGGCCATGGACAGGTTCAGCCGCCATGACTGGATAGTGAAGGTAGACGCCGACTGCGTGTTCTCGCCGCCCCGCCTCAGAAGCGTGCTGGAGGCCCACCGGGACAGCGCGTCGGGCGTCTACCTGAACAACTGCCTGCTGGGCATGCACGGGCCTCTGGAGGTTCAGGAGGGGAAAAACACACAGACACCATTAATCGGCGACCCTCAGGAAAATATGGGAAGTGGGGGGGAAGACAAAACCCTAGAACAGATGGAAAGTTTGGGGAGTCCTGAGATTTGTGTGTATTTGTTTGCGTGTCCCCTGGCCCCTGTAGAGGTGTTGTCGAGGAACGCAGTGCTGGCCTTCGCCGCGGGGCGCGCCGCCTGCGCGGCGCGGCTGGCGGAGAGGTGCGGCGGGCCGTGCTCTTGGGGCGAGGACATGTACGTCGACCAGTGCCTGCAGCTGCTGCGCGTCAGGAGAGCTCCTCCTCTTCCTCCTCCTCCTCCTCCTCCTCCTCCTCCTCCTCTTAATTCCTCATCCTCTTCCTCCTCCTTCCCCCCTGTTCCCTCTCCTCCTTCTCTTCCTCCTCCTCCTCCTCTCCTCCTCCTCCCTCCTCCTCCTCCCTCCTCCTCCTCCTCCTCCTCCTCCTCCTCCTCCTCCTCCTCCCTCCTCCTCCTCCTCCTCCTCCTCCTCCTCCTCCTCCTCCTCCTCCTCCTCCTCCTCCTCCCCCCCTGCAGCTGCGCGTCAGGAGGGAGTACGAGCAGTACCTGCTCCAGGAAGACCACTGCGAGCCCCCGCCGGGCTGGGATTCCTGCGCGAGTCCGGGCGTCGTTGCGTTCCATCCTTTCAAGGGCGTCGACGAGTATAAGGCGTGCGTGTCTGCGATGGCCTCGTGATCGCTGCGCGTTGGACGCTGTGGTCACGTTGCCCTTTTTGCGCGACACGGTGCGTCCGCCTTTTGGCCAAGGCAATGTCTCATCTCTGGGCGCTGGCGATGCAGACTTTTTCCACCAACTTTGACACTGACCAGACGAGCTACCAGCCAGTACTCTGTTTCCCCAGACAGTGACTACACGTAGGAGCTGTTACTTTGGCTCCAAGTCCCAGAACCCCGACGTCATGATTTTTTTCAAGACGCGACCCCCAGAGGTCCGGACCCATTCCCTGGGACTGGTTTTGCATCCTGAGTCGTTCTTTGACGGTCCCGAGGTCCGGTAAGGGCCTCCAGGGGCCGAAAATAACGAAAAGCCTCCCGTCGTGATTTCTGCACATCGCGAGGAGCTCTGAATATTTCCTAGCTATGTTGAATATTCCTCCTGTAGAGGGACATGGCCGACTTGACCGTACTGCCACTCCCCGGGCCTCGCCCGGGGTGCGCTCCGACCAGGCTCTCGAGGCGAAGCCGGCCGTGGCGGCGGGGGCGCCTCCTGGGCCCCGAAGAGGCGAGCACGAGGCAAGGGCACAGGGCAAGGGTACAAGAAGAAGAAGAAGAAGGGGGGAGGAGGACGAGGAGGAGGAGGGGGGAGGAGGAGGAGGAGGAGGGGGTCTGGGTCGTTGGCATGTACCAGCACCGCCCGTGGGCGCCTCGCGCTGGCGTGGGCTTCTCGGTCCCGCCTCCTGTCCCAGACCCCTTCGCGTTGTGAGCAAAATCACGACGGGAGGTTTTCCTGTATTTTCGGCCTCCGGGGGCCCTCGCCGGCCCTCGGGGCTGTCAGGAGACGGCTCAGGATGAAAAACCGGTCCCGGGGAAGGGGTCCGGACCTTTGGGGGTCGACGTTGTGAAAAAATCACGACGTCGGGGGTCTGGGATTCCAGATGGGTTCCCCAGGTTTGCGCCTGGCGGCCGCCCGTGGGTGCCCTTTGGGCGCCCCAGTTGAAGAGGAAAAAGCGCCATAAACATAAACTCTTGGCGCTCCGCGCGGATTTTTGGGATCCGCGCTGGACCCTCCTGGTGGCGCCTCCGGCGCCGCCCCTGGCGCGCTCCGTGCGACAGGGAGGGGGGTCCAGCGCAGTTCCAAGAAATCCGCGCGGAGCGCCAAAAGTTCATGTTCATGGTGTTTGTTCTTCTTCTACTTAGCTTACATAGTACACCTTGCACCACATACGGTAGGTTCATGCGGCGTTGGCGCGCCAGCGACCGCGGCGAAGGCGCTCAAGTTTGAATATTGCGACGTGGAAACATCGAGGGACATGGTGACGTCAGACGTCACTGGACCTGGCGGGATTTCACCTTGAACGATCGGGGCCGCGATCGATTCAAGGTTGAACGATTGACGCGGTGACAAAGACCTTTGAGCGCGCCGACGCCGCACGAACCTACCGTGGCTTGCACCACATGTGGCCCTCGCCTTCGGGGACCGAAGGAGTTGGCATCTGTTCTTCGCCGGAAGGCGGCAAAAAGTCGACGGAAACCTCCGTAACCAAAACGAGGGCAGCTCCGCAGGCGGAAGTTTGCGGAAGGCTGGCGGAAGCTGAAGCAAGTGAAAATCGCATTCACAAGAGATGTTTGTTTGGGGGGTGTCACGGTTTCAGGAGCGGGCCCCATAGTGTACACATCGAGTACGCATCGAGTGGATAATTTACCATAGTTTACGCCACATTGCTTTGCGCCACATAGATTTCACCACATACATGTACATATACGTACACACATACATACATACACATCTATCTATGATATGCATAAAGTATATATGTATGCATGAATGCATGTCGGTATGTAGGAAAGGTTGTATGCATGTATACATGTGTGTATGTATGTACGCATGCATGTATATATATAGACATGTATGTATACATGAATGCATGTATGTATGCAATGTATGTATGTATGCATGCATGCATGTATGTATGTATGTATGTATGTTTGTTTGTTTGTATGTATGTATGTATGTATGTATGTGTGTATGTATGTATGTATGTATGTATGTATGTATGTATGTATGTGTGTATGTGTGTATGGCTGTATGTATGTAGGCATGTATGTAAGTATGTATGCAGGTATGTGTCGGTATGTATGTATGTATGTATGCATGTATGCATGCATGTATGTATGTATGTATGTATGTGTGTATGTGTTTGTATGTTTGTATGTTTGTATGTCTGTCTGTCTGTCTGTCTGTCTGTCTGTCTGTCTGTATGTATGTATGTATGTATGCATGCGTGTGTATGTATGTATGTATGCATGTATGTATGCATGCATGCATGCATGCATGTTTGTATGCATGTATGTATGTATGTATGTATGTATGTATGTATGTATGTATGTATGTATGTATGTATGTACGTGTGTACGTGCATGTGCATGCATCCATGCATGTATGTATGTATGTGTGCGTGCCTGCATGCTTGTAAGCATGTAGGTATGCGTGTATGTGTGGATGTGTGTATGTAAGTATGCATTGTTGTTTATGTGTTTGTATGTTTGTATGTATGTGTGTATGTGTGTGAATACATGTATGTAGGTATATATGTATGTATGTAAGTATGTAGTTCAGCATCATCCAGCTTGCATCACATAGTTTGCATCATACTGCTCACTCAGTAAAGCCTGCCACTGATGGCTTGCACAACATCCCCTGCACCACACGTCTTACAGATCTCGCACATCCAGAGCGCAAGAGCTCGCTGTTTGGGGCCCACGCTGGCAGGCAAATCAACTGTCGAAGGCCCGCGCGAACGTCCTGCGTCGGCACTGAACCCCCCCGCGCCCCGCCCCCTGCACGTGGAGCGCTGGAGGCGCCGCCCCGGGGCTCGAGCGCTGCCAGAGGTGGCCACGGCGCAAGGTGGCCCCAGGCGTGTCAAGGAATGCGCAGGTGAGCGACGCAACAAAAAAAATGGCTCGACTGCGCTGACAGTCTCGCGCGCATTGCCCGCGTAGGGTCGCGCGTAAGCGCCCTCGTCTCTGACGTGGCGTGCCGCGCTGGCGGCCCGCGTAAGCCACCGCGCAAAGTCGCTGTCACCTCGCGCAAGACCCGTTTCTCTTCGTCGCTCAGGTGGCTTCCAGAGCGCTCCCCACGAGGCCCAGCGGGCCCTAGGGGCCCCCAGACTGCGCGAGACGCTGGGTGGCATCTTGGGGCAGGGCCACCTCGGGCAACATCCGATGGGGGGTGTGGGGAGGAGGCGGGGAGGGAGCGCTTCCAGCGCCGACCCAGCAAGTCCACCTGGATCTCCCCGGTTCGAGCTCAGCTCCCTCAAGGACCTCCACATTTTTGCTGTGCCACGTGCTGCGGCCCACACGCGCAAGAACTCCACGCTCTGAACTTGCTCCTCTCCCTCTCCGCGCGCTCCTTCTCCCCCTTCGCCTGTTGTGCCCAATGCGGCCCCGTTGCATCCCACGGCTGCCCCCGAACGCGGTGAGGACTCCCGCCGCTGCGACAAACAAGTTTCCCAAATAATTGCGATTTGTTGGTTCAACCCGCGGCCACGGAGCTCCCGGCCCCTTCCCTTGGCGCAGTTCTTGATCCCGGACCCATGTTTGATTTTCCAGGGCCGGCAATCTTTTAGTTGGCGTGGACCCCAAACAGTGGGCTGTTGCACCCCCGACGTGCAACAGATGCGCTGCAAGCTGTGCCACGCGTTCGGTGTACGGTGCCATCCACGTGTTGCAAGCTATGTGGTGGAAATCCGGATGTGCCAGCTATGTGGTGGCACGATTCGGGTGGAAGCTATGTGGTGCGAGCTACCTCTCTGGTGCAAGTTGTGTGGTGAACGCCGTGCGATGCGAGCCACGTGGTGCACTATATGTGGTGCCAGCTATGTGTTACGAGCTCTGTGTTGCAAGCCATGTGGCGTATGATGTGCACGATACATACACATGGGGAGGGAGCAAAACACTGCAAGCTGTGTTGTGCAAGCGATGTGATGCAACCCATGTGATGCAAGCTATGTGGTGCGAGCGATGTGGTGCACCCAGCGTACAGGGCGCCCACGGGCGGCCAACAACAGGGCACCATGCAAAACCACAACACGCCCACCCACTGAACGTGGCGACCACGAGGCGGTCACGGGTGGCCAACATCCAGGGCACCAGGCGAAACCCGGCACAACCCTCCAGTGGCTTGGGCGTTTGAGGCAAGAACCCGTAGTGTAAGCACTGTTGGGGGAGGAGGAGGAGGAGGAGGAGGAGGAGGAGGAGGAGGAGGAGGAAGGAGGAGGAGGAGGAGGAGGAGGAGGAGGAGGAGAGGAGGAGGAGGAGAGGGGGAGGAGGAGGAGGGAGGAGGAGGAGGAGGAGGAGGAGAGGAGGAGGAGGAGGACGCGGAGGAGGAGGAGGAGGAGGAGGAGGAACTTGCAGAGGAGGAGGAGGAGGACGGGAGGAGGAGGAGGAGGAGGAGGAGGAGGAGGAGGAGGAGAACTTGCAGGAGGAGGAGGAGGAGAAGGAGGAGAAGGAGGGAGGAGCAGGGAGGGAGGGAGGAGGAGGAGGAGGAGGAAGAGGAGCCCCTGAAACACATGGAGGCTGAAGTGCCTGGAAGACGCCACGACTGAAAACGTCAGTCCTTTGGCGGATGTCCGTGCTTTTGTTGGCCTCCTAGCTTCGAGGTGCGCGCCGCAGCTCTGCCGTTCGACGGCACAGGCCCACCCCTGGCCCAGCCGGGCGCGGGCCGAGCTGCGGGACGCCTCCCCCGCCAGCCACATCGCCCCCTCGCGCTCGACGGCGCCGAGAAGGCCGCCTTAGGCGGGCCTGCATGGCTAGGAACCCTCAGCGGTGAACGAGGGGGGCAAGTGAGAAGGAGGAGGCCTTCTCAGAAGGCGGCGGGGCTCCTCAGAAGCCCTCCCGGCCTTCTGATTTTTTTCTGCGTCTTCGGGGAAGGCTCTCAGAAGGCCGGGGGACCTCCGAGCCTTCTGAGAAGGCCCACCCCCTCTCACTTCCCCCCCGGGCGTGCCGCCGAAACCTGCC